TAAGGTACTTCTTATTAGAAACATTAGGCTTGTTTAGATTTTATTGGATTTTTTTGTAAATTTCTGTCATCTTGCATGGTAATAAAACTTTTAAAACCGAAGACCATGAGAATTTTACGTTAAAAAACCACTTTTCTTGAAATTTCATTTTCTCTCTATTCTCGTCATTGCCATCATTCTCATAAGTAAAATAAGGTTAGTTACGATCAAGGAGAGGCGCATAATTAACATGAGGTTAGTCATTAATGAGGTCACTTCGCACCTTGGCGCGAAGTAATGTCATTCGAGACTAACGTCGCACACCCAGTGGGGATAGTATGGCCAGTGTGATGAATGCACCTTTCTTGCATTAAAATGACGAGTGCTCATTTGCAAATTGTAGGAAATGAGTCGCAGGATGTATCACAAATGATGTTTTGGGTTTTTCTTGACTGGCCGAGGACTATGAAAAGCAATAAACAGTCTGGATACTAAAGAACCACCCACTTGCACCGGAACGATTGCCCTTAGCACCCAGGTGTCCCTATTGTTTGTGTTGTGGGTGGAATTCTCAACGAAGCTCATCGAATATCCTTTCGTTTCATACTCACCCGTAAACCGGCGTCTAATTGTAAGAAGTGATTTCAGCTGTTTCATGAAATTCATAGATTGTCGACGGTGTTGTATCTCTTGATTTCCGGATTGCGTGGTAACGAGTGACTAGAAGCTTCTGACAGCGAGGTGTAGTCGGGAAGATGCTGTAATCAGAAATATTATGCATTCGTCTAACACAGGCTTCATATCACAAGAGGTACAGACGAACCAAAGATTTCACAGTAATCCAAATTTCTCTCGGAGTTTCCCGGAAGCCTTTCGCTCAATCTGATAAACTGACGGTGAAAATTCGTTTTTCGTTACCATTAGGTTGATGCATAACTATTGCGGATTTTTTCAGCAAATTTTACTTGAAGAAGCCATAGAAATATCTAGCAAAGACATGTTCAAATAATTGCTGGGGAACATATCCACCATATACTTCAAATACTGCTTCCCGTTTGCTAGGCATTTGTAATCCAAAAGCGGAGAAGTTTCAATTTTTGGAGGCGATCACGTCTTGACGTCGGCCATCAAGCGATTCACTTCGTCGAAAGTTCTGTTCGTTGACCAATTTTTCATTCGGCGATTGACGTAATAATAGATAGGAGTTTCTGTTACTGAATAGGACGACCGTAGAAGCAAATTCCATTTCTTATTCGCCTTTGGCTTACTGATCCATCGCCAAGAAGTTCGTCGAGATCACTTTATGAGTGCGCAGCCTCCCAATATTTCTCGAAGTAATAGAGCATAATGTGACGTATNTATTTCTGTTTAGGAAAGCGAAAAGATTATTTCTACAGAAACCTCAAACTCAAAAGTTTAATTTTATTGAGAGAAAAGAAGCCGCGAAAAAATCCGCAGTAATTATGCATCAACCTAATAAATGGGAAGGAGGGTTTTTGACACTCGCAGCTAAATCTACAACCCGAAAAAACGCCGGGCGAGTTGTCCGCGACACTTGTCAACTTTTCGCGACAACTGTCTAACACAAAATCAGGCAATTCGTTGCAGGACTAATAGCAGCTACGTTCAAACGCCGATTAGTGCAACTTTCCTCTTATTCTTCTATTTTCTACCCTTTTCTGCTATGATTCTGATCTATCGGTTATTCTGTTCCGCAATATTCTGCGCTGATCTCTACCCTGCTGCCCTTCTACCGGATATGCCAGCCGCAAACGTGGCCTACACATTTTCGCATTTCATTTGCATTTCTTTATTCTGCTGATATTCTATTCCACTTGTTATCTATTCCAACTCTGGCTTTTGGAACTCGTATTCTCCCGGGGTGCCGATCGATCCTGCCCATTTCATTCCGCTCTTTCTTGGTAAGTGATTTTTTTGTTACTTGTCATATTTAAGGCTATGTGCATGTTTTCTGCTACATCTCGCTTGTTGACTCTATTTCTTCAAGTGCTTCATATGTTGACTTTCTTCTACTTATCCCTTGGATTCTCTCCTAATTACCTCTTAATGGCATATGACTGAATCGTGGGAGGACTCATATGGGGGGTGCTACCCCTATTCATTTTATGCTGCTTTGGAGGTGAATTCCTAGTTTCCCGCTAATGCCCATTATTTTGTCTCTCAACTCAGCAATGAGTAGTTTTTGGTGCAACTTCGCTTCTTATGATCAATTGTTTTCTCGAACTCTTCTGCTTCAACTGTTAAATCCACTGACCATTAACAATTATTCTTAACATATTAATTCAATAATATGGGATACTTCGGCGATAAATTTTCATTTCTCATGGCGCCGGCTGCATTCGAGTTCACAATCTGCTTTACTGGTTATTAAATTCTAGAAGAGCTTGGAACACTCCTTCTTCTCACGTCCCAGTAGACCAACATAGTGTTGAATTGGGGTAGAACTTGTGCGGTTCTACCCCTTTTCACTTCGATGCTGGTATGGGAAAGAGTTCATTTCAAAAGGTCTTTTCTTGTTAATTTTCAAAAATGTTTTCGCATGCTCTTTCCCTCTCTTCACGCTCCTTCTTTTGCCTCTTAAGTGACTTCACATAACCCAATCTGAGGCCCAAGTCTAGTTCAAATATATAAGACATAGAAGACATAAATCCACAAGAAACAGATGCCAGAGAAACACGGTGGTATTTCTCTGGCATCTGTTTCTTATGGATTGCGCTCAGGGGCTCACGCAGTGTGTGCGCCAGGTGTGCAATGTTGAGACTGTAGAGCTTGCAAGAAGGATATGCACAGTTTCTATTTTAGTGTGGGTTAAGAACACGAGGTTTACTATAATGCAATTAAGGGTTAAGATGTATGAGATATGAAAAATCACCGCTGAATTTTGCATATTCTAGAATTGATGAAGTCGTTGTAATTGTAAATAGTTACTGAATAAAAATTTATCATTAGAAAAATTCGTATAAAGAAAATAGTCAGACATAAACGGAATAGACGCGGCGAAAACTACTCATTGCTGAGTTGAGAGACAAAATAATGGGCACTAGCGAACTATGAATTCACCTCCGAAGCAGCATAAAAAGGAGAAGGGGTAGTACCATATAAGTCCACCCACAATTCAGTCATATGCCATTAAGAGGTAATTAGGAGAGAATCCAAGATTTGCTCACTCGTTGCAAGAGATTAACTCATTGACGACCATGCAGTCCACACGTGGGATCGCATTTAAAAATATAGGGGACCCTCCGGCGCGTGTCGCGTGCGTGTCTCTTGGCCCATTGCCAAATGTGGTTTATTCTCCTCTGCTGGAGGTATTTCACTAATGATTGCTGCAGGAACACATATGAAACGCCATCCTATGATCATCGCACTGTTATTCCTCAATGGTCTGGCTCGTTAGGAGTGTACTTATGTTCCTAAGCTACTCAATAGCCGTGGCTAACCCCTCTTCCCATTAAATGATCTGGATGCATTTTCCATACTCCCGCATTCTTGCACGTTAGATGCCGCTGACAACTGCTCATTCTTATTCGAGCTCTTTCAGGAGTGAAAGTACGTTTTTCGATTTCAACTTAGTGTAGATTTACCCACCACAATGGGAACAGATACGACCTTTGACTCTGCCTCTCCCGTTTTCGAGTGCCGTAGTGGCGTTTACAAACTGATGTATTGTAAACCCTCTATCTTCACTTCGAAAATAAGAAGGCCACTTGCCCTTCCATGGAGAACTAGCGATACCCTCACACCTAACTGTTGGATTACTGATTAACTGGAACTGATTACTACCGCTTTAACTCATGCACTGATGTCATGACTCCAAAAGCGGAAACCATGTTCTGATCTTATGACCCCAAAAGGCAAAAAACACGCGTAAGTTATTGGTTAAATGAAACTACGTAACTGGTCTACTCAACAACTGGAATTCTGAAAAACCAGGTAGAAGAGTGAGTGTTGAGGAAAAGATCCACTTGAATCCAATCTCATTCGTACACTTATCCTCCACACCACCCCATATGCACTACTCCCGTAACTGATCCACATTGAATTTCTTTTCTTAATCTCATTGGCTTGAACCATGCGGAATCCAATGACTTCATCGCATGGGTAGAACAACTTACCCACATACAAGTAGGGCACTCGAGCGCTGAAGGTGCCTGTTAGGATGAAGCGCTTAGGGACATGAATGAACTCCCAAGCAAGTCAGCCCCACAACACCATCAACAAACATTAAGCAGTTACAGCGAGATGCTCGGAAGATGGGTTACACATGTGTTTGTAAGCAGGCTGTAGTGAAATTACTCCAGTCGAGGCAAATATACTACATTTGGCAATGTTCCAGAGACACGCACGCGACACGCGCCGGAGAGTCCCCTATATTTTTAGATGCGATCCACATGTGGACTGCAGTTGTATTTTTTGTTTTATTCATCTAAATTTCTATTTCTTTCAATATTTTTTTCAGAACATTACATCAGGCCTAAATGAAACTACTTACAGCGTGTCCTAGAAAATCTTCTAATTTTGCGATTGTAAAGGTGTTTTCTCGAAGCAGTGCAGTACACTTACCTTGGCGAATTTTTCATTCGTTGAACAACTTCAAAAAATGAGATATTTTGAAAAGACGCTGGTGGGACGGTAGCATTCCCAAATGCAAAGCTCGTAAAAATTCTCTGAAACGATTTCTGGTAATGATTAACTCATTGGCAACCGCGCCTTTTACATTGTCCTTACATTAACTTTTAATTTCCCTTATAACTGTAGTTGGAAGTGAATGATTCCTGGACCACGATGCCTCAAGATTCTCTAGAAGGTTGTGAGCTAAGCTGGTACTTGAAAACTTGAAAAAAATATAAGAACACTCGATAAATAATATAAATACTGCAGGGGCACGATGTGGTGTGCCCCGCCGGCGGGCCACGTGGTCGTCAATGTTCAATTGAGGCATCTAAGGGACTAGAATTGTATTCACTCTTCCTCAATTTATTCGTTTACTTTATCAAATTCAAACAGGTTTCAATATTTTTAGGACCTGATTAGGTCGAAATAACCAGAAACGTGGTCGCGAGAATTCAACTACGCGTTCGGATTGACAGTAATACGGCTGGCTATCCAGAGGGCGTCGCCCAAAGAGAACAAATGTTATTTTTGGACTCATGGTACGTTATTTCCGTCATTTGAGCTATTTAAAGTTGTTTTTTTCTGAAAACCGAGGGACTTAAAACAGCAGATTAACGTATGTGTGTATGTTTATTTCTATATGTTATCACCATACCAGTGTGCTTTTGAAATATCACCACAACATTGTGTTATGAAATCTTTTGACCGTACATGTTGCGTTCCCGCGCGTTCACATGTCATGACCTGCGCATCACCACGGACGCGGTATATAAGGCCGCAACGCCAGGGCTAGGGGCTCTTTTTTTGTTCATTTTGTTTTTTGAGTAGCTTCGTGTTGTGGGATCCTTCCCCCGTCTTGGTTTCACCCTCCCGTTGCATACGAGTTGTGTTTTTTGTGCCGGTACTTCATTTTTAAAAGTTGTCATCTCTTTACAGTCGTTCAGGAATATTGTTTTTCTCTTATTTCTTTCGGTCACATAATTTTTTTTGTGTACGTAATTCATTGTTTGTGTCTCTGATAAAGGGACTTGTTTCCGCCTTTGTGATTTTGAGAGCCCGGTACATTACCAGTCGAGCTATTTACTTGGGGGCCGAACCGCTCCAGATCAGGGGACCCCTGCATCCCGTGCTGAGCGCAGGACGGTTTGAAGCAAGGCGAAACAGGAACAAGGTCTGTCAAAGTCGGTACTCAGAACTAAAAAGTTCCCTGCATCCCGTTCTGAATTCAGCACGGTTTGAAGCAGGGAAGGGAAAAGAGCTCGGTCATCCGTCAGGAGAGATATACGGGAGCCAGACGAGGCGGGAATTTCGCAACACCCAGTCCACCTGCATCCCGTCACTGACGGTCGAGAGCAGGGCACTCAAGGCAATCGATATCGACATACTTAGTCGATGCCAAAGAAGCAAGAGTCGAATCAGTTCATACGGTACGACACAGTATTCTCAGTTCTCAGTTGATTGATATTCGTGCCGTCGTATCCAATCGCAGTGGTTCGTTGATTGATATTCGTGTCGTCGAAAACAACCGCGGTGACTCTTATCGACTAGATAAGGAAGATTCACATTCAGTTAGCAATGGCCTCGCCAGCCAATTCCGAGCAGCTATTGAGAACTTCGTCAGAATCAGACTTTCGTGAAGAAATGGATATGGATGATCATGGAGAAACTGGCGTGAGTTTTTTCGGCAAATTTGAAAAGTTTAGCAGGAAGCTAATAACTCAAATGGCCTCCATAGCGGTAACATGCGATCGTGAACTAGCGAGAACTATGCGAACGGACGACCCAATAAGGGATTCAGTAATAGCATCAGTGAGTGAGCAAAGCGCTTTAGTAAAAGAGTTAGCGCGGACAGCGTTGAAGGAGATAGGCCGAGAGCTGGCCATCTTCGAGGATATGAGATCCATTTGCGTGGAGGCAGCACAAAAGTTAGCTTGTCTGGTAGATCAGATCAGAGGTAAACTCGAAGAGACTCTGGCCGACATGGACAACCTAAAAGAATCACTCAGAATTTAAACGGTGAATTGCATCAGCAAAAATTACAGGTCGAACAGCTTCGCCAAAAAGTCGAAGTTTGGGCAACAGCCGTTCGAGAGGAGGCGATCTTGACGGCAAATTGACGAGAATCATGCCGTGCATAAAGGTATCGCATACAATGCGTTATATGATATGCGAAATGAGCACATACCAAATATTTCACTGCAGGACTCGCACCAGTCGACCTCGACGCGATCGATCCGCATATACTCAAGGATTATGCCGAACGAAGACTCAAAGAACGCTTCCAGAACACGACCTACATTGGACACAGGTGAGGACCAAATTTCTGAATTTTCCATGAGTGATTATATCAGATCAATGTCGTTGCCTGATGATCAACCCTTTGGAGGGAAACCTCATGAGTTTTTTAAAAGGTTCTTATCTTCGTTTGAAATTAAGTGCCCGAAGAATAAATGGAAAGATGCAAGCCGATTACATTTATTCAAAGTTTTTTGCGTGGAGACGCACTCATTATGTTCGAAACATTGCCAGTAGAAATTCGTGAATTTCATTCGACGATGTTATAGACGCAATGAAAAAGCGTATGCGAGTCGATGGCAATAGTGAAAGAGTTAAAGCTTTATCGGATCTGAGAAAGCTAGCAATAAGAGATGGGCAAACAGTGACAGAATTTTGCTGGGTGCTAGAACGGTTAACGAATAGAGCATACCCAGATGCACCACCAGAAGTAACTGCGCTACAAAAGGCAGAAATTTTATGTAGACAACTCGCAATCTGGAATGGCAGTTACTGTCTAACAGAGGCCTTAAAAACCAGCACAACATCGGAGGTTTACGAAAAAGTGAAAGAAGCCGCTTTTCGGCTGGAAAGAAGCATCAAAACTGCAGAGGAGTGTAGAACTCCTGGTAGATTCAAACCGATTCATCGGGCTCAAACGAGGTGGGAGCAACGAAGTGATGCACCCATACCTTCCCCGATAATAAGAAAAGTGGAAATAGATAAGCACAGAACACAAGAAAATACAGTTATAGAGATAAGAAATAATCAACACATTAAGACTCCT